GTAGTTACGCATTGCTATTTTACACATTTTCGGTTTGAAAGAAGATATCAAACAAGGTTTTCGCTGACTTTTAAGCTTTTACTACTCTTTACCATCAGTTAAAATTACATATATACCATTGCATTTTAATCTTTGAACAAGCGCAATGTTTGTCTGTCAAATTGTAAGACAACGCCTTCTAGCGTCTACGTTCAAAAGCCTATTATTGTTTATATGTGGTACAACATGGTGACTAAGAAACGTTCCTCTCTTTTTAAACGGAGCCCTTGCTTCTTGTTGGATTTCTTTGGATCATCCAGTCCAGAGCATATTATTATTTAAATAAAGACAGATCTTAACTTTTCCCACCACTTTATTTTGGTTGATAGGGAAAAAATGGCTTTAAATAAAAAATTATTCAAAAATTTTACTGAAGATTATGAAGCTATTACTTATAGTAATAATCTTATCTAGGTAAAATTGTGTAAAAACTCTATTTTATTATTTTTGTTGCAGTTGCGCCCCTAGCGGTCGTTCTACAAACTTGAAAAAATAATTTCCAGCAATTTCATAGCCCATTTAGTTATAAATATTTTTATCCGTAAACCCTATGTATTAATATCTTCCGAGATACAGCCGAGCTATTACCCTAGTGGGACACCTGGTATAGTCATAGAAGTCAAAAAAATACAAATAAAGGATATATTATATTTATTTTGAAGAAATTCATACAGATGTTATTGGCATTGATTTATTTGAGGTTTCGATGTGTTTCTTCAATTTAGCAAACATAAAAAAGAGTTTTTATATTCCATGAACATTATACAGGGTGAGTCTCAAAATAGAATGTAGAATGAGTCGGAGGATGGGTTAATCAATTGCGACCTTAAAGATTCATTATGTCCCTCCTTGAGTCTCATCATACAGCATGAAACCAATCATACATGTTGTAAGGGGGACAGAATATTTCCCATCCTCCGGACAATATGTTTCTGAGGCTATACAACCCCCCCCCCTGGTTGGGGTTTAGCCTCCATGCCCTTTTACAGTCGAGGAGCTTGTCTCCAACTTAGGTAACAGTGAGGTGGAGACTGGAAGATCTGTCTCCACTTTCTCCACCCTTAATTTGGTCTCTGGCCAGTGGTAGATAGCAAAAAGACAAAACAACCAATGGAGCAATGCATGACCTAACGGATAATTGTACGGGGTAAACCCCGTGAGATGGAAAGTTTCCGGACGACGACTACTGCAGGATAATGCGGAGAGGAGGAAGAAACCATAGAGCACCTGCCGTGCCACTGTCCGACACTAGAATACCGACGCTTAAAAACTTTAGGGCAAGGTTTTTTTGCAGGGACTAGAGGAAGCAGCAGAAGCCAACATCAACGACATCGGGAACTTTGCAAAGAGCTGGAAGCCCTTTAACGCAAAGAAAGAATGAGAGGAAGTTACTATAAATGCGACATATTTTAAAGCTAATAAAGTGTCGACATATTCAATTAAGAGTTGTACTTAGATATAGTATGGGTTATCACTGGATATTTTTCTAAAAAAAAACATGTCCACTGACCGTTTTTTCTCTTGTTAGCGAAATAATTTAGGCAGTTTAATGTCGATTAAAAGCTTGATCTTCATATTTTGTCGATTTCGGCCTCCATTGATGAGAATTTTTTATTTAAAATTTATTAATAATGTGATTAATAAAATACCGTTTATCTCATCAAGGGGGGCGAATTCGACAAAATATCCAGAGATAATTTTTAACTGGCATTAAACGGCCTACCCAATTATATAAGAAAAAAGTCGTGGCGCACATGTTTTTTTTTAAATATTCCAGAGAAAACCCATATGCACGTCCCTGAGACTTATCGATACTTTTCAGCATTAAATAATACGTAGCACTTATAGTAACTTTTACCTCAAAGTTTCATTTGAACTCACTACAACAGTACTTAGAAGGAAAAATTATAATAAATCGAAAGATATTAGATTTAACACCCTGTAGCTACGAACCAAGCGATCGGACCTATGTTATATGAAAAATCTTATTTTTTTTATTTTGAAAAAAAAGTTAGTGTCGCACATGTTTTTTTTGAAGGAACACCCTGTATACGGGAGCTATTATTTTATTTTTTTATAAACAACTGCTGCGTTAAATCCAACGGAAACTATTGTCAGCAGTGGTTTACTATTAAACAAATTTTGCCTAATGGGACAAAAAATGCCTTAACGTTTCGGAAAAATACACAAATTACAAAAGAAAAAATTTTTTTTTATTTAAATATCTATATAAATGCAACAATTCGACGAAACACTTTAGTTTTTGTTAAAACATATACATCTACAAAAACCTTTGACCGGTTCTGTTAAAATGACATTATATAAAAAAAAAAAAACTTTCAAAATAAAAATTTAACTACCTGATAACAATTACTTAATAAGGTAAAACCAAACTTCAAAGTTTCTTTTATAAATTTATTTTTAATTTTTACTTATTTTTAATGTTCTTTAAATCAAAGAAGCGAATTGCTATACATTTATTGTTTAATCATCTGGCTTTAGTGTGATTATCTGACAATATTTGTGCTTACACAATTATTTTCTTCACGACAGCTATAATTATAGGAACGCTTAACTCTATATCAATCAACCGTTAATTAATAATAAACTTTTAAACCTAATCTCAATTTCCAAGCTACCAATTAGTCGGAATCGATTTTCACTCAAATTGCGTTTTTAGTTGTAAAATACAAGACTTTTAGTTCCTCACGCGAACTTATTCTCGCTTTAACGTCAATTTTTTTTAATCCTCAAATTAAGTTACTAGGTTCTAGAGTAGATTTAGTGCTGTCGGTTAACAAGTGTCTAGTAAATCCCTTCGGATTAGATAATTTCGAGGATAATTCTTTCGCTAATCGAGGAGTGTTTTTTTTACCCTAATTTCAAAACACTCTGTGTAATAATTTGAATGTAAATTTTCTCCAAAATATGATTTTACGGTCAGAGCTATGACTCCTGAGCATTTATTTTTTGCAAATTACATTGTCAATACTTGTTTTGGTTAATTTTTAGAGCGAAATTAACTGATAACGATCAATTTGCCAATTTTTTAATTATGAGAATGGTTTTGGTGACTATTGTCGTAATGTCATATTACGTTGCATTGGATACTCTATACTAAATTTAAAAGACGTTAACGATACAGTCCGGGTTTAATAAACATTAATAAACGACAACAGAACTAAGATATTAAAGAAAAACATCTGTAATACTCAAGGATAAAACAGGAAAAAATTTTGCAAAGGAATATCATTAAAGTACTTTGTATTGCCGCCCTTACCTGTTATAACGATCTTCTGTTCGTCCGTTCATAATGGTACATTGGCGGGCGCATATATCATATTGGGTTATGTTTTCCCAAGAAGGATATTCTAACTCCCATACGGCGTTGTTTTTGAAATATGTACGTATTTTGTCGAGGAAGACGATTTCGTCACGACCAATGAGCGTCGAGTATTTGAAATTGAAAACATATTAATTGACGGTAACTCTTGTTTTTTGATTCATTTCATCGACAGATGTGATGAGATTATTATTGTAATTTATTTTTTTTTTTTTTTTATATTAGAAAAATAATGTATTTTAATTTTTTTTTTTTTTTTTTTTTTTTTTTTTTTTTTTTTTTTTTTTTTTTTTTGTATTAATAAATAATATTCTATTTTTGTAAATTTTCGATGTACTGGAAATTCCCGCAAGTTTTGTTAATCTTGAAGCCGCAAAAGAAATTTCGCTCAATAGTGAGAAAAATGTTATAATATCTTTTTAGACGTGTAGAATTACAAAATTTCTTATTTAGTTTTTTTTTTTTTTTTTTTTTTTTTTTTTGATTTTTAAAATATATATCTAAATATTATTTCAAATAAAAAAAAAAAAAAAACATTTTTTGGAAGTAAACCAATATTGAAGAAAGTGTTGTGCCTTCACAGAATTAAATTGCATTAGGAATAGATTTTTCCTTGAAAATTTTTATTTATATAGTTTGTTTAAAGAGTTTAGTTTCGAAAAAAAAGGTAAGACAATTATTATTGGGTTTCAGGTTATATTTGATAACTGTTGTTAATTGATAACATATTACAGGGACACAGTAAAAAGACAAAACATTTAGACTTGTTTAGACCCTTTGAAAGATAAATGTTTGCAATGGATATTAATAAATTCTAGCCAATTTGTACGATGTACAATGCAGGAAATATTTCTGCCTCCTAACGCACTATTCACGTAAAAGAAGATTGGGTATTTGTATTTATAGTAGTTAATGATACATGGAATATATTACTATATTATTGCAATAAAGATGTCTTTATGTTGTATTTTTTTAGAACAGATTTATTATTAAGTTGGCATAGTGTGTTAGTAGGTAGCCATTGGTAGTTATAAAGTATGAAGTCCAGTATTAATAATAGGAATGATCAAAGCTTATATACATTTATTGTGATATTATATTGGTGGAATTTAAGTAGTTAGTTTGGGTTGTTTAATTAACGATTAAGATGGTGCTTATTGTGTATCTATTAAAAAGAACAATGAAAAGTTGAATACCATAGGGGTACGTATGTTATACCACAGAAGAATGTTGCATCAACATTTTTTTGGTTATATACTTGTACTGATATTTGTTTCTTGAACTAAAGAATTTACAGTACCTACTACACAATATAATAATCTGCAGCTACATAAGTAGGTAGCTATTTGTAATTAATATCTAATATAATATCTAACACCAGAAATATTTGTTAATTATCACCTATAACAACTCATATAACCAATATAATAATCGTACTAAGCAATATGTAATTATTTAACAATTGATTTTTTTGAGAACATAAAGAACTGGTACTAAATTCTTTTGAACTATTTATTTTCTAAGTCACAAATAATGGTGGACAAATAGCAAGAAAATTATAACGAAAGACATAATTTAACTTATTTCTCTAATTGGATTTTGGTATTGATCTATTTAGTAGGATATGCAGTTATCAATCATATTTTGAATATTTATATTCAAAATGTTAAGGAACAGCCCAATTACTCTAAAAAAAAAAATATATGGTCAATTCTTTAAAAGAACTTTTTAATCAATAATGATAATATATAATTGTTGTTATAGCAGAACCAGGGGACACATAATTAGGGGAATTAACAACTAATTATTAAAACTTGCCGTTCTCTTAAAAAAGTAGTATTATATGCACTTAAAAAGACTATAAAGGATATATAAGTACGCATAGAAAGAAAGTACTTAAGTATCTATACTACTGATATACTATAAACTATACATATAATGAATACGATACTAACAAGTATACATATACTAGTAATAAAAATAACAGCACATGTCGGCCATTTAAAATAAAAAAGCAGCATAATAATATTCAGTGTATGTATATAAGTAAATTTCTCAAATATTAAAGAAATATGAAATAAACTTGCAACTAAATTTAATTATCAAACATAAACAAATCAAAAATTGTCCAGTGTTATTAAAACTTTATGCAAATATATTATGTTACCTTAATACTTGTCTTTAATCCTACTCTTCTGACATGGCTTTTCAAACTTATCCCCAAATCTCAATTCTTGTTATTAAGAATAATATTTTTTATTTTGTTGATTTTTTAAGCAATATTATTTCAAGTATATTATTCCGAATAATGGAAAACTACTCCATATTGGCATTGAAATTCTTACATCTTCTTGCTCGTTTAAATTTATTTATATCGTGTTATACATAATACTTACATAATATTCAATTAAAAATATTTTTTTAAATCAGTTTTTTAGTGAATATAAAATAGTATATTACAAGCATCATGAGCATATCACTTACTAAATCAGGAAAGTCTATTCTAATGCAATTTAATTCTGTGAAGGCACACACATTTCTTCAATATTTGGTTTACCCTTCCATAAGGCGCAACCGCGTATAACTTGAATAATACTACCAACTATTTCAAGTATAATTTTTTATTTTTTTATTTGGGACACGCTGTATATGTGTTTAAAACATTCTATAATAAAAGTGATCAGGTAACATGGAATATATAACATTTTTCTCACTACAGAGCGAAATTTCTTTGCGGCTTCAAATACAAAACTTGCGGATTTCCATACATCGAAATACAAAATAAGATATTATTTATTAGTGAAATATCAGAATATAGAAGGCCAAACAAAACCTCCTAGAAAATAACTTTAAAATAAATTATTTATTCAAAAACACAAAAAAAAAAAAATAAATAAATTAACAATACAAATCTCAATCACATCTGTCAGTGAAATGAATCAAAAAAACATAGGTTACCGTCAAATTATAGCATTTTTTCAATTTCAAATACTCGACGGCCATTGGTCGTGACGAAATCGACTTCCTCGACAAAATACGGCACGTTTTTTTTTGGGCCAGTCGAATATCCTCTTGGTTTTTCCCAATCTTCTTTAAGGACCAAGCCAAAGTACATTTAATGACACTGGTACTGCTTCGCGACCTCTAAACCCCCTGCAAAGCATTTGCCAAACGTCGAACACGATAGACAGTTCATAGTACTGTATAGTTCACAATAACCACCAAGGCGTCTTCTCACATTGGAAAATACTTTAAAAATATAGTAGAAATAATTGGCAATTTTGGTTGGCAAGTTCATTTCGCTCTTAAAAATTAACCAAGGCATGTATTGACATGATCCAAAAAACAAAATATTCATGGTTCTGATCGTAAAATTATATTTTAGGAAAACTTACACACGAAATTATTGCACAGGGTGTTTTAAAGTTATGGTAAAAAAACAACCCCTCGTATAACGTATTTATTCAAAACTCCACCAACACGGTCGCTATTGTACAACAGAATGACTTTTACTGATAAATTTTAGTAAATGTTAACAATTACTAATAAAAGTCCACAAATTTTATTTAAATACGATATTCTCTCGTCCAATGCATAATTGTTAGCATTTTCTAGTGATGGTTAATATTTACTGGATTCCCGACTTTCACTGTAACATATACCTATATTTATGCAATCTAGATTTTCATTTTGTTTTTAATAACGTTGTTCAAAGGTAATAATATATTACAGTTGAGGGTTGGAACCTTTGGTGTTACACAGCAAAATAAAGATAAAAGAACACTAAAAAAACACTAAATCACAACAATACACCAAAACACTTTTACTTTTACACTGGACGCGCGTTTCGCTAACCATGTTAGCATCATCAGCAGATGATTATAAAATAAAGTACAATCTACAAGTTGAGCGTTTATATACTTCCCAGTAGGTACCGAGTGGGCGTGGCAAAATCTAGCCAACCGAGTCAGAGCCCACTGAGCGTAACAGTTAATTTCCGCCACTAGAGTAGTAGGAACAAAGAACTTGAAGGAATTAGAACGTTGACTCTGTTCATACTATCTTTACATTTATTAATTCTGATGCTTTCATAGGCATCTAATTGCCTGTAATTTGAGACTTGTTTAATTAATTTTAAATTATTAAGATCTATACAATGTTCTTTATCAACAATATGTTCGGCAACGCAAGATTTATCCGGTCTACCATATCTTATCTGAGCTAAATGTTTTTTAAATCTAGTTAATATTGATCTTCTAGTTTGCCCAACATATTTCTGATTACAATCTTTACAAGAAATTTCATAAATACCTGACCTTTCCAGTGGAGTTGTTTTATCCTTTGGATTACCTAATAATTATTGTAATTTATTATTAGCATATACACAAGTTTATAATTGACATTCTTAAAAATTCCTTTTAGACCACGGGATAACTCTATATCAAACGGTATTGAAAAATATTTAGACGTATCTTTCTCCACTTGAAAAGTCGAATTTTCAGAAATCATTAACCTATACCTACGTTTTCTAATTAATTTATCAACTAGTGAAGGAGAATATCCATTACACTCAGCTATTTCAGCTTCTATTTCATATCTTTCGTTGGAAAGTGGGAAACTAAGTAACCTATATATGAACTAAGAAATTTAAACTAGCCATTTTATGTTCAACACTATGATGTGATTCATTAGGAATATATCTGCATGTGGTGGTATTTTTCCTATAGATATCAAATTCCAGGCAATTATTAATATTTCTAATAACTAATACATCTAGAAATGGTAATCTGTCGTTGTTCTCAATTTCATGCGTAAATTTAATGGAAGGAAAACGATTATTTAACTTAGAAATAAAATTATCTATGGTGTCTGAATGTGTGTCAAAAACAGCAAAAATATCATCCACATACCTAAACCATACTCTTGGAAAATACTCTAATTATATATATATCTAATAATATATTTCATTTTTAGGTTCAATGCCTAGGAAGACAAATCATCGAAGCATTATTATTTTTAAGAAATAGACATTTACCACCTTTGTATCATCTTCATTCTGGTAAGTAGAAAAAATATCACAAAGTGTTTTAAAAACATCTTTTGACACTAATTTTTTAATATTTTATCGTTAATGTTAATATTAACCATATTTCTGTGATTTTTAGGAAACGTAATAATCCAGAACGGCGTAGCTCGTCTGGCTGGCCTGGAAAACTCCCTCTTAGGCCTCGTACCAAAAGCGCCCTACGCACCGGAGACTCTAGCTTTTGGCTATTTGCTCTTCGAGATGTCCGCTGGCTATGAACTGCCTTCGCTACCCAGTCAGGCACATCTGCAGCTGGAACTGGAACGGGCTCCTAAAGTGGCTGACGCATTGCAGTTTATATTTCAAAGTCCAAGGTAAAAACCATAAACATACCTTATTAAATTAAATTACAGCTGGATATGTTTGTATACTTTTGAGAATTATCGTATCAACTCCTGTGCATATTAGATATTTTCTTCATTTCAAAGTTCCTATTCGTCCGTAGGTGTATTAGAAAGAAACCATATGAAAAATGATATGAAACCGTATGACCGAGAAAAAGACGACGTCAAAATGGCTGGGGAATGACATTCAATGATGCTTTTGGCGAGATCAATCTCCAAATTTCATTTACTAAAAATTGACATAAAAGTTGTCAAATATTAAGACTAATTATAAAAATTGACGCCGGGAGACACGTATAGCCGCCCATACTAAAATATGTTAATATCTCGAAAACTGCGACTTTGACTGATTTTGATGTTATTACAAATTTTGTTGCAAATGTTATTCCTAATCTTAATTTGAAAACCGCGTTTTGCTAACTACTGTAATTTCGGAGTTACGATTTTTTAAAATTTTTAACCCCCTCCCATCACCCCCACCCCCACCAAAAATTAATGGCCAGATTCTCGGGTGCCACAGTATTTTTGTAAAAATTTGGTTAAAATCGGTTTAGCGGTTTTTGAGTTATCGTGTTACAGACGAACAGACAGACAGACACCATGAAAATATTTTGTATTTAGGCAAAGAATATCTTAATACCCTAGAAGTCTCGTCTCGCATCAAAATCTGACCTGTCGATGGGGCCTCGCTTTGGCGAGCGAGGCCCCAACTTCGTGGGGCCTCAAACTATTCGTGGGGCCTCAAACCTCGCTATTTTGCTCGGAATTGAACGAATAGACGCGCGGCGTTGCCTTGTTTTGTGTGTACTTCTGCGTTTCTTGCGTACTTGTGTTAGCTAGCTAGCTTCTGCGTACTTGTGTTTCTTGAATAGTTTTAAATTATAGTTTTAAATTTCATCTATTGTTATAATCAGTCTTTCCGCTCTCAGTTCTCCGCTCTCCGCTCTCCGCTCTCCGCACTCCGCAGTTTTCACATAATATTATCTATATAATTTCCGTGTTACAGTTTTGGTTACCGTACTCCTCCGGAACGACTTGACCGATTTTGATGAAATTTTATATGTATATTCAGTAGGTCTGAGAATAGGTAGTTATATATTTTTTATACCCTTAAGTGATAAGGGTAGTCCACCCCCATTTTTTTATTTTGTGAAAAAAAAAAAATTATTTGGCATTAAAAAATACAAACAACACTAAATTTTCACTGTTCTACCTTCATCCCCTATTTTTAATAGGGCTGTTTTTTTAATTTTTGTTACCATCTCCGAAACGGCTTGACCGATTTTGATAAAATTTTATATGTATATTCAGTAACGTCTAAGAATAGGTTGTTATCTATTTTATACCCTTAACTGATAAGGGTAGCCCCACCCCTCATTTTTTTTTAGTTTTTGAAGAGAAAAAATGTTTTTATTTTTTTATTTGGCATTAAGAAATACAAACAACCCTAAATTTTTACTGTTCTGCTATCATCCCCTATTTTAATAGGGGTTGTTTTTTATTTTTGTTGCCATCTCCGAAACGGCTTGGCCGATTTTGATGAAATTTTATATGTATATTGAGTAGGTCTGAAAATAGGTTGTTATATATTTTTTATACCCTTAAGTGATAAGGGTAGCCCACCCCCATTTTTTTTATTTTTTAACTAATGGCCAGATTCTCGGGTGCCACAGTATTTTTGCGCCAAATTTGGTTAATATAATGACAGACACCATGAAAATATTTTGTATTTGGGTCATTTATGACCCAAGTAACTCATTTTGAGTGAAATTAAAAAAACTTTTTTTTTGCCGATCCTAATAGCCTACCATACCTATTGGTATGGTCGGCTAAAAATTATTGGTGGGATTTTTATTTCTATTATTTTTGGCATATGTAATTTACAACTTGTGAGAAGATATCAAGAAAAAAAAACATTCTCAAAAAATACAATCCGCAGTAACGAAACAAATTTGTTATGCATTAAAGCATAACAGAGACGCTACATCAAGCTACCATAAAAAATAAAGTTTGACATTACCAGTCTAAATACCATCTACAACAACGTGCAGAATGAGATTGCAAAATGACTAATTTATTAAGTCATTATTGTACTCTATCGACTTTTGTTGTTACCATAATAGCACACTGCAATCTATTATATTGCAGTGACTTTTTCTACACAGGAAAAATTTTTAATGTAATGGAAACAAACAACTTTATATAGTTACAAAAAAAAACCATTTTACATAATTACAGAGGTTTTAATATAATCACAACATACTTTATTTGTAAAAATCTACAAATTACAAAGATACGTTAAAATACATAATCATAACATAAGAAGCTATGATTCTCATTTTACCTTTATTGTAATTTGAAAAAAATATAATTGTTTTTTAAATAATATTATTATACAGGGTCTTTTTGAATGACATTCTTGCCTTATTCTTAGAAACAACTTCATATAAATGTATGTCCTAAACATCATATTTTTTCAGAATACAGGGCGGTTAAATTTTCTAAAAAAAACGTTTTTTAAAAATATATCTGGTGTTATTACAGATATCTTTGTGAATCGTGACACATCATCTATGTAGCAAAAATTTTTAGCATTTTTGATGTACAAACAATTTTATTTATTTCAACCAGTGGAGTGCGTGGTGGGTTTTATAATGAATATTTTTAAAGAATAAACGGTAGCGATGGGAACTATCGAATGAATTAGACTATCGAATGGTTAATGAATGAATGATTTCAACTATCGAATGGTTTTATTCGAATAAAATCATTCATTCATTTGTAAACTAAAGCATATGTGACAACCTCGCAGTGCGACTAAATGGTTATCGTTGAGCCACGTCTATCGAATGCTTTTGATAAATGAAATTTAGTATTCGTTTGATTTTTGTATGCGTCAGTGCATTATTAGTTCTTCCAAATTTTTATAACTTCGCCGTATAAATACTGTGCTATTTTTGCGTTTATTAAAATAGTAGTTATTTTTTAATTTCATTTATTGACGATTGTGTGCATGTGCAGGTGGTCAAAATTTTTTCGATAATTTGTGTGGTTTTCCGTAGTCCGATCTTTCAATTATTTAATTTTATATGGTATATGGTCTATTTTTTAATGGGAAATTTTGGGAAGTAGCAATTTTTAAGAGAGAGGAGATGAACTTTTGAACAATTAATTTTAAAAATACATATTTGTATTTTAGATGTTTTAATAATATGAATTAGTTGAACTTAATAATTATATATAAGTAATGTGGTTAAATAAATGGTTATCGAACTCAAACTATGGGGTGAGAAAATTAAAATGAAAGTTTTACACGTGCCAATTTAAAAAAAAAGTTAACGATGTTGTGTATTTTGTTTAAGGTAATTCTCTTACATGTAGTTTTTTGCGAAGAAATATTTCATTTATTTTTTAAAGTAAATGCCAGTAAAAGTAAATATAATTTTTAAATAGTAATATAAAGCACCTAATATAAATAATTTTGATTTCTAATGTTTTATTTATATTTTCCTTCCATTACACCGCATGCTTAGAAAATTAATAAATGTTTATATTTCATGATTTTAAAATTTGTTGTTAATATAACAAATTAGTTCTGTAATTATTATTATTTAATAAACCAACGTTGCCAAAAAATTTAGAGACTATATTATTTTTAAATAGGATCTAATATAAATAATTTTGACAACTAATTTGTTGTTTATATTTTGCTACTACTTAAAAAAAATATTTATATTAAATGATTTTAAATTTTGTTGTTAATAGGTATAACAAATTATTACTGTTATTATTATTTATTAAACCAGTATTTGCTTAAAAACATTAAAAATCATTTTCCTACATCCAAAATAACAAGTATTATTGCAATGTAACACAGAATATTAAAAAAAAATGCAGAATATATAGACATACTATCCCTAACTAACTAAAGCCAAACAATAATATTCTTTGCTAATATCAACTAATACCAAAATATGGCAACAGCGCCCTTCATAATGTATTTTCTGTGTAAATACCAGCACCTTAATGAAAAAAATAATGTATCCAAAGATGCCGGCTTCTTGCATAGCATTGCCACCGACTGCTGTCACAAACTTACAATTAATTTTAAAAATACATATTTGTATTTTAGATGTTTTAATAATGTGAATTAGTTGAACTTTTAATAACTATATATAAGTAATGTGGTTAAATAAATGGTTATCGAACTCAAACTATGGGGTGAGAAAATTAAAATGAAAGTTTTACACGTGCCAATTTAAAAAAAAAAGTTAACGATGTTTGTATTTTGTTTATGGTAATTCTCTTACATGTAGTTTTTTGCGAAGAAATATTTCATTTATTTTTTAAAGTAAATGCCAGTAAAAGTAAATATAATTTTTAAATAGTAATATAAAGCACCTAATATAAATAATTTTGATTTCTAATTTTTTATTTATATTTTCCTTCCATTACACCGCATGCTTAGAAAATTAATAAATGTTTATATTTCATGATTTTAAAATTTGTTGTTATTATAACAAATTAGTTCTGTAATTATTATTATTTAATAAACCAACGTTGCCAAAAAATTTAGAGACTATATTATTTTTAAATAGGATCAAATATAAATAGTTTTGACATCTAATTTGTTGTTTATATTTTGCTACTACTTAAAAAAAATATTTATATTAAATGATTTTAAATTTTGTTGTTAATAAGTATAACAAATTATTACTGTTATTATTATTTATTAAACCAGTCTTTGCTTAAAAACATTAAAAATCATTTTCCTACATCCAAAATAACAAGTATTATTGCAATGTAACAACAGAATATTAATAAAAAAAAATGCAGAATATATAGACATACTATCCCTAACTAACTAAAGCCAAACAATAATATTCTTTGCTAATATCAACTAATACCAAAATATGGCAACAGCGCCCTTCATAATGTATTTTCTGTGTAAATACCAGCACCTTAATGAAAAAAATAATGTATCCAAAGATGCCGGCTTCTTGCATAGCATTGCCACCGACCGCTGTCACAAACTTACAATTAATTTTAAAAATACATATTTGTATTTTAGATGTTTTAATAATGTGAATTAGTTGAACTTTTAATAACTATATATAAGTAATGTGGTTAAATAAATGGTTATCGAACTCAAACTATGGGGTGAGAAAATTAAAATGAAAGTTTTACACGTGCCAATTTAAAAAAAAAGTTAACGATGTTTGTATTTTGTTTATGGTAATTCTCTTACATGTAGTTTTTATGAAGAAATATTTCATTTATTTTTAAAGTAAATGCCAGTAAAGTAAATATAATTTTAAATAGTAATATAAAGCACCTAATATAAATAATTTTGATTTCTAATTTTTATTTATATTTTTCCTTCCATTACACCGCATGCTTAGAAAATTAATAAATGTTTATATTTTCATGATTTTAAAATTTGTTGTTATTATAACAAATTAGTTCTGTAATTATTATTATTTAATAAACCAACGTTGCCAAAAAATTTAGAGACTATATTATTTTTAAATAGGATCAAATATAAATAGTTTTGACATCTAATTTGTTGTTTATATTTTGCTACTACTTAAAAAAAATATTTATATTAAATGATTTTAAATTTTGTTGCTAATAAGTATAACAAATTATTACTGTTATTATTATTTATTAAACCAGTCTTTGCTTAAAAACATTAAAAATCATTTTCCTACATCCAAAATAACAAGTATTATTGCAATGTAACAACAGAATATTAATAAAAAAAATGCAGAATATATAGACATACTATCCCTAACTAACTAAAGCCAAACAATAATATTCTTTGCGTAACTATCAACTAATACCAAAATATGGCAACAGCGCCCTTCATAATGTATTTTCTGTGTAAATACCAGCACCTTAATGAAAAAAATAATGTATCCAAAGATGCCGGCTTCTTTCATAGCATTGCCACCGACCGCTGTCGGGTTTCTCGGAAGGAAACCTACGTCGCCGGGCAACAACTAAAATTCAGTTAATATTTTATTATAATCGATCCTGACGAATAAATGAATTTCATAAATGAATGAATTTTAAAAATGAATGGTTTTTGCTGCCGAATTAATAGAATACAATATTTCAAGGCAGATGACGGATCTATTCGATAATTTTTATTCGAATAGTTTTCAACGAATGTTTTCTTACTAACTATCGAATTATTCGAATGAATTGCAACTATCGAATGTTTCGATAGTATTCATTCGATAGTTCCCACTACTAATAAACGGTACGATACTGACTTCTCTTGAAATAAACATTATTTACAAAACCTTCATTCATTTCTAAACAATGTTCATTTTCTTTTTTTTGTCCAACGCATGGTTATTACTGAAAAAAATTAAATCATTTTTCTTCAGATGAGATTTGGTTTGAAACTTTTACTTTTTTATATCAGATTTATTACGTAAAAACTTTATTTTAATTTTAGCACCCTGTATCACAAAAGTTAAGATATTTAGGACATGTATTCACATAAAGTTTTTTCTTAGAAATATTATAAAGTTATTAAGGAATACCTTTCTATAATTTTAATATTATTGGTTAATTTATTTTAATATCAAATAACTAAACAATACAATAAAATAAATTCGAAACATAAATCTTTATAAAGTATATTTCGATTAATAAATAAATAGAAAGAGTAGAAATAAAGAGGTCAAAAATACTAAAAATAGAACATTGTTTTTAGTGAAGTACTTGAATTATTATAATCTTCTTTCCTCTTACTACTTACTACTTGTCACTACTCTCTTTCGTCTTACTACTTGTCAAAAGCATGTGACAGCACTAACTTTTATTTTTGTCATTGTGCCAGACATTTGAAATCCTCATAAGGGCAACTTACACTCTTTGTTTGATTATTAAAAAAGCAGTTTATGCAAAATGTCTTACAAAACAGATTTGTATAAACTTTAGGTTGAGATTAATATAAGATTTAAAACAGAAAAGTTGAGCACCATCTTCTACTTTTTCGTTTACTTTTTACTGTTTATTTTTTTTTATAATAAGTACACAGTAATGTACTTTAAAAATTGATATATGTTTCAAATAACAAATTACTATACACGGTAAGTCTTAAATAATTGCAAATATTTTTAGGGGTACTATATTTCGACCCCAGAATTATGTATATTGATGATGCATTAAGTTTATGAGATTCTTTTTCTCGAAAAAAAATCAAAATTGTTCGAATTTTTTTTTTAACTTTTAGTAACTTTAAAACATATTTTTTATAATTTTCAAAGTAAAATATCTCGGTTATTTTGGACTTATTTAAAAAAGGTAAAGAGAAAATATCTTTTTTTTCGCGAAAACTACCAGACCTGAAAATATTTACACTTATTTAAGACTCACCTTCTATAACAATTTAGGAATTGATTATTTTAGAATACCTACATTGGAAGAACTGGTGAGATGCGATTTATTCAGAGGCGTAGAATTAAGGGAACTGAGAGGGGCCACTATAGTTCAAACAGTGTCTTCGCCCGAAGTTTTGCAACTTTTGGATGTCGTAAGAAGCCCCTCTTTACCAAGTCCACTTCTAAGGCGGTGAGTTACATATCTATTATATATTTTTAAGTTTTATGTAAGTGTTATCTGTAGAATGTTTGTAGAGTATATGTATACCTGCATGATCATTTTTGTTTCATTTCTTTTTCACTTTTTACTTCTTAATCTCTAATATTTTTTTTCTTAGTCTTTAATAAACTAATAATAATTTTAATAATTAAGTTGATATACAGATAAATATACAGATTTTTTTATAATTATATCTACACGGAGCGGCACAAAAAACGGATATCTTAAAATTTTCATATATTTTAAAGTTCAGCATATTTAATTCTAATGAATATCTAAGATGTCAATATTGCATGAGTATATGATGATAAATGAGGTCTAAATTATACAAAAACTTGGAGAGATAGGTAAAAAATGGTATAATAATATTTGATAAACAATAAAATTGTAGATCTAATTCACTAAAATATACAAGGCGTTCCATTTAAATTAAACAAGTTATTGTTGTTTAAACCTAATAATTTTTTAATATAAAATTTTAGACACTCTGAATAAGGTAGTATTATTTTTATTATTGCAACACCAAATTTACTAAATAGAAAAATTTAAGTTCAATATTTGGTTTTAAAAACTTAATACGCCTAGAAAATTGAAGTATTAACATTTTTTTTGTTGTATTTTTACAAAATCGTAAATATTTCAAAAAGGTAAGATTAACTTGCAGTAAACCTTAATCAAATTTACCTTTATTTTAATCTTAGAAACTAAAATTTTATTACTAAACAGGGTGTTCCATTTAAAAAATACAATTTTGATATTTTTTTACCTGCGACACTCTGTACCCTTTTTGTATAATAAACAGATAAGTACTTATTTTTAATTTAAAAAGAGAATAAAAAGTCAAAATATTTTGCTAATATATTCCTTAAAAAATAATGAAAATCGGCCAACTAAAACAAAATATATTAAATTTTTAAAACACACGAAAATTTTAAAATAATTGTTTTCGTACCGATCAGTGCATAGAGCAACTATTTTTTGATATTAAAATATTAATTAAATTAATTAATTTTAAACGCATTCTTATATAGATCACTTTTTTACTCCGCCTTTTATTAATGAATTTGCATATTTGTTTAGGAGAATAACCCAGTATGGCTATAGTTTTAAAGATCCATAAAAATGGGTAATTACAGCCTAAAAAATAAATACCAAGCTATTAAAAGGTTAATGTAGAATTTTCGTTAAATGCCTTTTTGATATATATTAGCAAAAGTTAATTAATAATAAATTAAAATAGTCTTAAAATATATTTTTTTAATTATTTTTTATTATTCCTCTTATTTTTTTTTCTATTTTTATAATTTCTGTTTTTCTTTTCTTTTGTTTCTTTGCTAAAATTTATTTTAGATTAATTCATATAAATAGTTTTTTACATAGAATTATTAATTATAAAAATATTTCCTTTGAGTAATTTATATTTATTTTGATTTTTTTAATACAAAAATATATAATTTTGTTCTATTTAGTTCAAGTCGACGTTATTCTGAAGATATAAATGCATGGTGAAAACAAACTGGTAATGTAGTAAAACACTAAAAAGTAAAGCTAAAATATGCTTAAAAATAATTTGTTGATAATTATACTGTTACAATTTGTTTTCTTTATATTTTTTAGATAATCTAGTAATATATCGTGTAGTGAATAGTGATTCCTCTGAATCAAATACTCTATTAAAATTTAAGTGATGCAGGCGTATTGTATATGATTTTATATTTCAATTTGTTTATTTATTACCTATTATAGCTTACCTACCATTATTATTTAATATTGACAAAATGTTTTTAATGACAGTGTTCTAATAGATCCATATTAAACATATCCAAGAAATAAAGATATATTGAAATATATAATCATAACATAGAGTGTTACGATTCTCATTTTGTCATTTTCTTTAATTTGAAGAAAAATATGTTTCACTATTTTTTTAAACAATTTTATATATAATTTTAATATCACCGGTTCATTTATTTTAGTGCCAAATAACTAAACATACAAAAAAATTAATTTGTAATAACAAATAAATATACAACAATACAATAAAATAAATTTGAAACATAACGGACAAAGAAAGCACTTTTGTCAATAAGTCAATTGTATCTAACTTAACTTATTGTTACGTTTTTTGTCGGTTCCCTGTGGATAGAAAGTCACAATTTATTTACACTAAGTAACAAACAATAACGATTAAAAGACTTAAAGAACTATATACAAACTATTTATAACTATTTATCTAGAAAGAATTTATTTTAAATTTAGCACGGCAACTGTACTCGTCTATTTATTTATTTTTCCTCAGGCCCCAGCCGTCGGCTTATATACCCACAGCTAAAGAGTTCTCGAATAATCCGTAGCCGCCGAGATTCTTCCATTCATCCTTGAACGGCACCAGGCGTATTATTAGTCAGCTTAGACCGGGTTCACACGGGTCCTCGGCACTGCCCCCTTCTTAGATTCATGCTCGTCCCGAGATGTATACGGTGAATGAAGGTATTTGCAAAGCTGGCCCCTGGTACATTGAGAAGTCTGGTAGAAATAGGCAGTCTACAGTTTTCTCTCCCAATCTCAGCTTTGGGTTGTAGCAGCAAACGAGGATCTCGATACTCGTAAATCTAAACATGACTTCAATCATGTTCCGGATTGTACGCCAACTCAAAACATCGAGTCCAGCTTCGGAATGGCTAATCGTGTAATGTTGTTGTTTAGGAGGGCTTCTCTCAGTCTACAGTTAGGGCCTTCCATAGGTTGAGATAAGTTTCGGCTTATTCGGTGACCATTTTCTTGGTGACCAGGTAGAAGATGTGTCTTGCTTGACTATGCGCATCGTCGGTTAGCCTCAAGACGCTTCCAACCTCTGAATCCTGTCGGCGTAGTTCTCCGACACGCCCAAACTTTCATTGAACGTCGTAGCTATTTTCTCTGGACATTGCAAATCTCTCGACCACACAGTGAGCAAGCGAATAATCAGGAGGCAATGGAAAAGAGGTCCTGTTGTTCTTCTTCAGTCACGCCATAGCGAGCCTTCCTACCGCTGTTATAACGGGCCATGAAGTCGTCAAAAGACATCTCCGAATTAGGGGATCAAAGCTACAGATTCTCACGGTCCCAGCACGATCTTCTATTTCGCCTTGGTAGGGCTCAAACGATTGAAATGGACGATCCTTGGTTTTCCTTTGGCAATTTCCTGATACGGTATACGACGTCATTAATCCTATCCATGACTTCGTATGCTCTTCCCACGAGGATTGTAGCTTCGGAGATAATCCACGTCGTCTGCGAGTTGTATAGCCACGCCAAATTCCCTGGTTGGTATCCTCCAGGCTCAGCTTGAATGTCGTAGTGCTCCTTCATTCGGTCACTAGCGCTTTGAATATTTAGACGGACTCGCTGATGGATGTCATCCATCCTTGTACGTAGTCTATGGATATAATCTTATCCAGCGACATCTTCTCCCGGTCGGCAACCAAACTTCAGATCACAAGGTAGGCGCACTTCCCGTCCCATAACGATGCTGGCTGGAGGTTGCCATGTGGATTCTTGGACGGATGAACCGTAGGTCGGGCCTGTATGAGGAAAAAGATAAATAGACGAATACTGTTACCGCGCTAAATTTAAAATAAATTATTTCTAGATAAATAAATAGTTATAAATAGTTTGTATATAGTTCTTTAAGTATTTTAATCGTTATTGTTTGTTACTTAGTGTAAATAAATTGTGTTTAAATGAATTGTGACTTTCTATCCACGCGGAACCGACGAAAAACGTAACAAATGGTGTCAGGTGTATTAGTCAGCTTAGACCGGGTTCACACGGGTCCGCAACATTATTTGATTCCAAAAATACGTAGTAGTTCTATGTCCACGGAATATTGGGACACCCTGTGTTTTAAGTATTACATATAAAATCAATTCTTGCGCCTGCATTACTTCTTCTTTGTAGATCATGTTGTAGTATTGTACAGGTAAAATATATATGTACTCTATCCTCTGTGTGTGTTACTAGGTGTCTTCTTTCATCCCCTAATTTTAGGCGAACGATTTTTTTAGACAAGAAACCGTAGTGGTTATAGAAGATTGTAGCAAGAGGGCGCTAGAAGACATTGCCGAAGAGGACGACAGTGAAATTAGCGATAGTTGTAGCGTAGAGGAAGATATCAGTCGTAACGCTAGGTAGTAGCTATTAGGATAACTAGAATCGGAGTAGTTACTAGAGTTTTTTAATATTCCCTGTGTTCCAAATTAGTGGAATAAGGTATGTTGACTCAGGCAGACTATATACTCTACATTTTTCTTTCATAACCAAGAAATATTATATACGAGTTTTTATCTTATTCAATAAATCATTTCATTATGTACAGGGTATTTCTTTGGGCTGCAGCATACCTAATTTCAAAAACTACGTTTTATTGTATCAGAATGGCATTGCTAAATTATTTATTTTCTATAATAGCTGTGCTATTTCTTAAAATAGACAGTACTATATTAAAAATTATTTATTTTTCTTCTGCAAATACACACAAAAGAAGTACATAACTAATAGTAGATTAACATTAATTTATTTTGACACCAACAAATCTATTATTATTAGAGGTGTTGAAAAAGTAGAAACTAACTATCCGTTACTCGACTACTCGTTACTTTATTGATACCCGAAGTAAGGTTGACAGCAGTTGACAAAATTGACAGCAGTACCAAAATCAGTACAAAGTAATCATATTAATCAAAGTAACGAATATTTGAAATGATTACTTAGTAGTCGAGTAACGATTAGTAACGAGTAATCAAAAATAACGAAAATAAACATCAGTGATGTCTTTAAAAGATGGCATAGTTATTATGTACATATTTTAACTTGTTTTTTTTTATGAAACCCTACTAAAATTTAGCCCTTTTTTGGCAGAAAATAGTACCTTATTCATCATGCTAAATACAAAATAAAGTATATTAAAATCTATAAATATAATAAAAGTATTTTTATAGCGTCCATTTCAGCAATAAGATTAGATGCTAGATAGGTCTTAACAGTTTTATTATATCAAATAACATGTATTTTAACCAAAAACTTGTAATGTTTAAAAGAAGTATTTAGGCAATCAAAATATAATTTTAGGAAAACCAACTCTAACCGTATATCTAAAATAGAAATAAATTCGTACAAAATCAGAGTAAATAACAATCAAATTAAATATTAAAATTTTTAGACAAAATTGAGAACTAAAATTTCCGCCTTTCTATAACCTGGACAAAAAATTAAATAACTCGCAATTATAATGTAAATACTTAACAAAACTAGTGCAATTTTCTATACATTGCCAGAAATATTTTTCTAGGTTACCTCTATATTAAATATATTTAATTATATACAGTGTGTTATATTTAAGATAAAAATATTATATTTTTATTATTTGGACTAACAAAAATTTGATTTTTTACAACCATACAATGATTGCTGTATACAGGTTGAGATATAATTTTTATTTTAATATTGTAACTGAATTTTTAATTGGGATCTTAAAAAAATGTTTGTTCCAACTCGCCGCAGAACCGTCACCGAACGATCACGCTCGTGCGCAGTAATTCAAATGTGTTCCAACCGAGATTTGACGGTTATCGGACGATCCTATTTGCGTACCAACCTACCTTGGGATCGTTTAGTTACGATTTCAGAACGGTAATTTCGGTACATATGGTCCAAATTGAGAACTGATTGGGTTGACTTGCGCATTAAAGCATATTGGCAGGGATTTTCGATTTTTAACAGCTGATTCTGGTCCGGCGTCCGGCTGATGCTTCTGTCTTGGTTATTTTTTACGAATTCGAATAAGTGTGCGTTATACTTTTGCTTGTGAGTTTGTGTGGAGTAAAGCTTGATTTTCATGCATCCGTTGTCCGACGATACGATGATACGATATTAATTTTATTGGTTGAATTTAAAGGCTTCGGTTGGTTAGAAACGGTTAACCAATCGAAGCCTTTAAATACAACCAATGAGATCAATATCGTAAGAAAGATGTTTGTCGATCTATTGCTGCACTTAGTAGAGTTTGTAGTGGTGTGTTTGTGATTTTCTTAACTTGGCCTATCCATTTAACAGGTTTATTAAGGATTCCTACTCTATTATTATTGTAGTACACCTTATCTAGGCAAAATTGTGTAAAAACTCCATTTTCTTATTTTTTGTTGCAGTTGCGCCCCCTAGCAGTCGTTCTACAAACTTGAAAATAATTTCCAGCAATTTCTCATTTCTTAGCCTCTTTAGTTATAAATATTTTTTTTCGTAGCCCCTACGGCTAATACTTTCCGAGATACAGTCGAAAGCTATTCTTACTGCGACACCCTGTACACTTTCATAATTATCTATAGATAATAATTAAGGATGAGTGACGATGGTATGACTGATTTCTTTACCTCCACTTCAGATAGTGACAATTTGGAGTTGCTGCCTAGCGAAAGGGTGAAAAATGAACAATATTTAAATAAGCTTTAATCGTATAGGTAAGTGAGTTAGTGAGTATCCAGTTGAAACAACACCTACCAACAATTGCTGGATTCGGATTCTCCATTTCAAGAATAATAATTATTATTATTGCAAATTGCAAACAAAAATAATAGGGTTATGTTATAAAATTCTAAACAAAAACAAAAAACCGATCGATACACGCACGCTTGACACTTTTGACAGTCCCGAAAACAATCCACGAAGCGTCCCAACGTTGATACTTTTTGCACCGTCACGAAACTATTCGAAGTCCGCGCATGTTAACAAAGTGCAAGAAAACCGATTCGGGTACGATTTCGAAACGATTCCGAAATGCTGGTTGGAACAAACCTATAGTTGGCTGTTTTGATTTTGTTCGTTTGGTGGCAATAAATATAAGAAATTCCAATATTTATCTGCTCATATCGCTAACGTCAAAATAAACAAAAAGTTAAATAGTTTAATTTTTTGACAATATTTAAATTTGTTTTACATAATATTGTTAACCGTTGTTTATGCAAACACAAGTAACCAATTATTTTCAATTGTCTATTCGAGAAAACTTTAGTTTTAGTTTCGACAAATAAATAAAAAGAGACTGACAAATCTCATGGTAAAGAGTGGGACCGCGTTCCCGTAGCGCAACTCAGAATAACAATTTTGAAACCAATTAGCAGGATCATGGCAGGACATACGTCTTTATTGCTATCTTTCTTTCTTTATATGAAAAAGAAAGAGATAGGTATAAAACGTATCGTAAGACATTATCGCACATTCTGGCTGGGGGAAAATTTAAATTAGCCATTATTAGTAGTATTATTTCATTCTGAAACTGAAAATTTTCACTTAAACTGATTTATTCCCTATACCACGTAAAGGGAATGTGGTGTAGGGAATAAATCAGTTTAAGTGAAAATTTCCAGTTTCTTTCAGAACGAAAGAATACTACTATTATAAGGGAAATTACAAAAAAAGTAAAAATTGTACCTACTGTTTTATAAACATATTTATTTATACTTAAAAATAAATAAACTTTTTATAATATATTAACAAAAAATAACAGTGTTTATTCCACCCACCTACCAATTTTAAATGCAGAAGAACTGACTGTTGCAGGAAACGATCGGCCAGTTTTTTTAAAGGGCATTAAAAATCTCATTTCCGAAAAAACTGCCTAATTGCAATAACAAAGTGAATATCCAAACAAGAAGACTTTACGAGAATCATGATCCTGAACCATTTTCAAGTCCAGTTTTAGTCCCAAAAAAAAGTAAAATAGGTATATTAATAAAGTTTCTGGTTACTATAAACCAGCTATAAACTCCCTACCCAAAAAATGAAAAAAATTAATTGTATTAATTTGTTATGTTAAGAAAGGTTCGAAATATTTTTGACACTACTACTTCTACTTTTTTCTTAATAAGATGATAAATATAACTACTTACTTTTATTTTACCGGGTGTCTTTAACATATCTATCAGAGAAAGGGGGCACCAATACATATATAAAATAGATGATACTGGCTCCTGCAGCAAATAAAATAACAAATAGTATAACCTAAAATTATAAGTAACAAAATATAAATACCTATATGGAACAAAGGAATTTGTTCCCTATCCATATTCATAAGTCAATAAAATAGAGAGTTTAGAAAAAAAGTAAATCACAAAAAGAAAAATTAACAAACATGACGAATTGTCATAATGTTGTCATCTTGGTTGTCATGATGACGAAAACGAAAGGCGATTGTTCTAATTTCTATTTAGAAATTACGTTTTATATGGCTGCTTCTTTCTTTCTTGTTATATTAGAATGAGATAGTGGGCCCAATAGACGCAATGCGCAGATCAACATAAATAGAACGAAATTTTGCGTTCTGAGTTGCGCTACGGGAACGTTGTCCCTCTCTTTGCCATTTAATTTGCCAGTCTCTTTTTATTTGTTTGTTTATGGTTTTTTTTTAAACAGATACATCCACAAAACCCGTTGACGTTCTGTTAGAATGACATTTTATCAAGTTAAACTTCAAAATTAACAAATACTACCTGATAACAATTACTTCATAAGGTAAAACCAAAAAGCTTCAAACTTTTTGTATGATTATTTTTAATTTTTACGTATGTTATGTTTATATTTTTTATGTTCTTTAAAATCAAAGAATCGATTGCCATACATTACTAACATCTACAGATGCATGAGCAATTCATTTATTTTATTAGATCATATTAAAAAAGCCTCTTTTATTTTTCTTTTAGAGGCTATCGTTTCTTTCATTATAATTTTGGCATTGTTAAAATCTAACCTGTGCCCTGTGTCCCATGAATGCTGACAAATGTTAGATTTGTGAAAGTCGTCCTTTCTTAAATAATCTTTATGTTCTTTTTTAATTCGAACATCTAAACCCTTAAATGTTCAGTTAGTGAAAAAAAAGTAAGGATATAATATGGATGTTCCTTTATCTTAAATGCGACAGACTGTGTATGGTACATATAGCTAAAGTGCCAACAACAACATGAGTCCTTTTTTAAAATAAAAGTGGCCTATTCCTTAAAAATCATAAATAAAATTAATAATTATATAAATTTTAAAAAATAATCTTTATATAAGTTAATGCAATGTTTCTAAGCAATCAGGTAAACATTTAAGCTCAATTTACATATCTGTTTAAACAATTATTATGTTGCAATAATTATAAATATTCAAAATTATGAGTCTTTGAATATGTGGCATTTTGTTTCTTTTAAAAATTTTCTTTTCAAAAAATATATGCATAATTCAATTATTGTAAAATACCAGTAATAAAATGTTTTTGATCACAAAGTTCATTTTGTCATCGATAATAAAATGCCTTTCAAAGAGAAGAATACTTATTAATATCTAAAAGATATATTTTCCTAAAATACCTGGAAATAAAACGATACACGATATACTGTACTATAAAAAACGGCGTCAGAGTTGGATTCGAAATAAAAATTGCTATGTAATCGATATGTAAAATTATATGCCAACTTGACGCGTTTTTTATCATATGGTGTTATATGTACACATTGACTAAAACAAAAGTAATATTTTGTTCATAGCTAATTCACTCTATTATAGATTTATGTAAATATTACAGGTCTATTTCAAAAAGATAATTATTTTGTAAAAATAGTTTGAAAATTGATTAAGAATACATGTCTATGTATAAATATAGTATAATGGTATCAAAATAGTTGTCCTTTAGACGACTATATCTTTTTAACTAATTATAAAGAAAATTTTTGGTTTATTTTACTTTGGTTGTCATTGCGACTATACAGGGTGGTCCAAACTGTATTCCGGAAACTTCGGCAGCGTATTCTGCAGATAAAAAGAAGTAAAAGAGTCCGTATAAATGTATGTCCTAAAATGCCTAGTTTGATAGATACAGCGTGTAGAAGTTTCATTTTTATTTCGATTTTTTTCAAATAGTTTCTGAAGTAAGGTCAATATTTGGATGAAAATTGGTGTCTGGAAGTTTTTTGACATGAGAAATTTGATGTCAATATGACTCCTACTTGTAGAGGGCGCCATCTACATATTTTTTAACTGGTTTGAAGAGTAATAACTTTTCGTCCGTACCTGTGTAATACTACTGGGTAAAAAATATACATTTGCGATGTTTTTTACGTAAAAAAGATCTCTTGGTAAAAATCGATACGAGTAATGGTTCTCGAGATATTTGGAATAGAAATTATCAATACCTGTCATTGACATAAATTAAACATCTGACTAAATAGTTATTAAACTAAAATCATAAATTTGAATTTTTTTTTTGTCAAAAGTTCAACAGAAACTTTTTTATCATCACTTTTTCAAAGAAAAATTTATGATTAATTTAAAAAAATAAGAAGTTCCCAAATTTACTATTTAACTATAATACTACAAATAACTACTACTAATAACTATAATCCTTGTTTATATATACAGGGTGTTTCAAAACAAATGCGAAAAACTTCAGGGGGTGATTCCTTGTTCAAAATAAAGGGTAGTTTGCATCATAAACGTTGGGTCAAAAGTCAACCATTAGGGAGATATCG